GTTTAAGAAACTGTAATAATTTCACGTAATTTCAAAATACTGCGTCACAACAACCACAAAAAAAAGGAGACGACACAATAGACTGTCAACTGATTTGGCGATAAGCAGCACACACACGCTCACGCACACGAACGAGCACACATTAAGGCAGGCTCACGATTTTTGCGACAACCGTCAGAAACGATTGATTTTTGCCAACTAAATGGTGAGCGGTAGCGTTGGAGCATGGCCCCAAAGCTCCCTATTATCAGCGTAGCTTTCGGATGTTGTGCTCTCTGGGCTCGAACAACTCTCTTTCTCCCTCGCGGTCGGTCGGTCTCTCATCTTTTGTTATCACGGCCTTTTGTTGTTGTCAAAGTGACCAAATTCGCTAATGCCTGCAGTCGGCTGCAATCTGTGCGGCCCCTTTTCTATGCCGATGTGCTCTCTGGTCACACTCGAAACCAGTTTTTGTAGCAGCGCGACATGATCCGCACAGGCAGGTGTTTGCATGTGTGTATCTATGTGATGCTTTGTGTAACAAGGAAGTTTTAGTCGCGCGTCGGCAAAGATCGGTTTTCTCTCTTTGAGTACGTTTGCTTTTTATCATTTCACCACAATTTATTAATAGCACGTGTTTGTTGAAAGCCATTACTATTCCTTTATTTTGGGTGCTATTTTTGCATAGATTTCCATCTGAAATCATTGAACCCAGCCTATTCTACGGAAAACCAGGAAGCTATTTCCCTAATTTGGTATCTAGACAGCTGATTAATATCTAATTAAGTTTTTTATATCCTTTCAGGTGGGTATCCTGATGTGTCGTGTCAATAGTTAAGCGTATTTGCCATTTTTTATATAAAATAGCATAGCTCAATAAGATTAAATGGAAACAATCGATTCGCAAGGGTATCTAAAGCTTCGGCCCCCGAACTTAGTATTGTTCTTATTTGATATTGAAATAAATCAATTAAAATGTTTTTGGGAAACTGATCGAGCGACCTGTTGAATATTTCCGAGCCCGCTTTCGGAATCTACCCGAAGCGCTAGAGTTTTTTTTCTCAGTGTACGTACGCTGAAGGTCGATTACCTCGCACTTGAGCACGATCTGACGGAATTTTCTTATAAAATGATTTAAAATAAATGCAAGTATTTTTTTTTTTGTAAATCGTGCGAAACTTACCTTCTTCGCAGGTTATCCGTTTGATCCAGCGACAGGTTGGGACTACTGCCGTGGTGTCGCCTCCGGCCGTACAATTGCTGCCGGGAGGCGGTAGCGGCGGCGACACTGACCAAATCATCGCGACTCTTGCTCAGACTGTCGCTAAATGGTTGCATTGTCCGTGAGAGAGAGTTTTAGAGTGGTCTGTGGACTCCTTACGACATGCTTGGCTGTTTGGTGGGGGGGTTTATCTGCGGAAGGTCAAGTGATTTGGTATCAAAGGTTTCAGAACCTCGGTGAACTCCACACAAATTCGCGCGCTCGCGCATTAACCTGTAATCTTTTATCAATGAACAACGCCAAAGCACACAAAATCAATAAGAGACGACGTCAAACGGCAAAATGCGCAGGATGTGCCCTGCGTACGAGAGCGAGAGAGAGGGCGAGCGGTCAAAGTCGTTTGTTCCTTGTCGTCACGGGGAGAGCCCACGCAAATTCAAGTAAGCTTGTTGTAGTCTACTAAAAGATACCCTCTATATAGATTTCATCTCATTTCTACATATCTACAAGAGTATTTGGTAGTATCTCACTCATCCCATTAAAATTAGTTACGCTATGTACTTTCATGTATTTTTATCTGTCCATTTTTATCATCCTGATCAAGACTCCATATCTATGATTTTGAATGCTTCCTTTTGCCTGTTACCCTTTGCACCCTTAGCACGGTACCTCGCAAGCCATAAAGTCAAAGCAGCAAAGAAAGCGTGAGATTTTGTTCGCATGAACAGCGATGAAGAAGAAGAAGAAGAAGAAGGAAGAGTCGGCCACCTTTCAGTTCAATAATTACATTTGTCAATTTCACATTCCGCATAACGTCCAATTGTACATGTGTATACATACGGTATTTCTTTCACTTTCAAAGTGCAGTCTGAGCTATTTTTATGATGCCTTTAAAAGGCAAATTACAAAAAAGAACACACTTGCACATACACCATCGAGTATTTCTGCATGCCTGTGTGTGCACATACATTCACATGTTCGTATGCTTGTATGTACATGTGTAAATCCACTTCTTCTGCTTTTTGCCTTTGCCGTGCTTTTGGTGCTGCTGGTTCTTGGTTTTGTGGGGGTTTTTTTTTTAAACTTGGCTAAAGCTAGAACATAACAAAAAAAATGACATTTTGCCACACACACCAATACACTTTTTTCTCTATTTCTGTACTCCTCTCCGACTCTCTCGCACACACACACACACACACATGGCACACACCCACACGGACACACGTTGGAAACCTTACAGCGCAGCTTTGTGCTGTTGCTGCTTCCTCTTCTTCGTTGTGTTCCCTCTTTCAGAGAAAATCAATATACAATTTTTTATTTGCACATTTTCACAGTTTCGCACAAGTTTTCAAGCCATTTTCCCCATGGAAATTGTATTCTCCATTCATTTGCTTACATTTATTTGGTCTTTGTGGGTAATTTTAATTGATTTTTGCTTGAAATAAAAAAATTAAAGACTGGTTTCTGGGGGAGCCCAGTTGCGCTTTAGATAACGAAACGGAGAACGCGTTATTCCGACCCAACCGTCCGCACCAAAGGTAGATACAAATCAACTACAAAAAAAGTGGCCGAAGCTGGCTTTAGGCCGAAACCGAGACCGCCGCGGAGAGAGCACAGCGCACAGCACCACAAAATTGGTATGTACCGCCGTGAGCTAAGCCGATTTCCTCCCTCAAAACCAGTTTGGAGCGCAGGTTGCACTGCGCATGTGTGTGCCCAGAGAGACGGACAGAGAGAGAGAGAGAGAGAGAGAGAGCACGAAGAAGAGAGCAGAGCCATGGCCAACCACCAAAGCACTTGCAAGGTACTTCGGCTGTCTGTTGTTGGCATGGGAAACTGGAGCTGGCTCCAAAAAGCTTCGATCCAAACATGTCCGATCATGTTTGCAGGCCAAAAAGCTTATGCAGCTGCGGCGACAACAACGAAGCTTTTGGCGTCAATGCGAGAAATGGTAAACAAAACGCGACAGAGACCGATGATGATAGTACTTCGAAGTCAAGATAGTATTTACTTTAAGGCTTTAAGCGTACGCACATTTGTGTATATGTACGTACATATGTATGTATGTATATGTATGCATACAAATCCTGGCGATCCGTTTTTTTTATTACCTCAATCTCGGAGACTATAAGAGCTGGAGACATCAAATATGGGTTCCGGGCTTTAAAGCCTATTATCTATTCATCAATCAATAATAATAATAATTTTATTGATTTTAAGGCCTCAGTTACATTAGCTCCAATGTAGCTTTGTACCTAATAGTTGTTCAAATAATAAAGTTTTTAACTCTTTTACACTGGAAAAACTCATTATTTTTTAATACGTGATTGAATTTCCCCCGGCGACAGTTTTATTTTTGGAGGATCATATTATACCTTTTCATAATGATTCTGTTGGCTGATAAGAGTCATTCTGTCATCAAAGTATTGTTATAAAAGAGTCGAGCGGAAATCTGGGCGATCCCCTTACACTGCACAACAGGTAGAAAGAACATAAGAACATGATGCAGCAGGTAGCATAATTTCTATGTAAACAAAGATGACTCATGGACACAAAGCAAAGAGAGTGGTTCTGTTCGCACTGCAGACCATATTTATGGGACAGCCACGATCCCAATGCCTGCCCCCACTCCGGTCCCTTGTTAGAGCAACAACGCCTGTACCCCCACCCCCCGTCTATGGCCCTAAAGAGGTACATACAACCATCTTGTTGGTTCAAAAAGAGCACCACAAACAACAGGTCCAGTAATTTGTTATGCCGCCTGCGTGCCTTTCAGGCATTTTCATTTGGTCCATTGCGCATGAGTCATTGGGTTAAGGTATTCGTAGACGGACAGGGTCCAGGGTCCAGGGTCCAGAGTTCCACGGTTCCCAGTTCCAGGTTCCAGGTTCCAGGTCCCATTCCCGTCAATCAGTGCCACAAAAGGGAAATGCGATAGGATTTCGTTGCCTTTATCGAGTGCTGTTTGGAGGGGGATCATTATTTAGGATGATATCTTTAAGCGATCGTTTTCAACTTAATTGTATAAGTTTGATACATACAAGGATATGATTTTGCCTTTGTTGTTATACCCGGTACTCGACGAGTTTGGGGATATATGCATGTATGTATTAGTTTTGTGTTGGCAGTGGATGTGTTGAAGACCCAGACACACATAGTATATACAAGTATTCTTGATCAGCATCAGCAGCGGCCATGTCTGTCTTCCGTCCATCCGTTCGTCCCGACAACCGCCTAGATCGCAGAGACTATAGCTAGAGTAACACAATTTTGTACCCAGACTCCTGTGATGTCACACTGTTACAAGTGTCCGTCCCCAAGTCCCCAAAACGCAGAAGGACTGCTGAATCTGGATCTGGATAATGATCCCATAATTTGTATAGCAAGAAGGAATAAATGAAATTGCAGTGGCTACGCTACCCTTTCCACGCGCTTACTCATTCTTTGTCCCTCCCTCACACACTCTTCCTCGTGCAGTGTGCGGAATGGAGCGAGATAAAACGGCTTGACATTCGAACATACATAACTAGCGGTCGTGGCTCCTCTCTGTCTCTTTATAAATATAAACTGCGAGCAAAATTGACCAACAAATCAGGTCGTCCCTTTTACGAAGACCGATACACAAAACAGACAGAGAAAGAGAGAGAGAGAGAGACACCACTCCTGGCGCATAAATCATAAACTCGGCTCATGTTGAAAGATGGACACAATAAACATCGTTCTATCGTATACTTACAGGTTTATATCTCCCGATTATAAAAAACAATGGGGATATGTTAGGTAAGTACACTTGATTGAATACTACATGTAGTTCCATCTTTCTTTTATTTGCTTCTCTACTTCCAAACATAAACCACATTCAAAATGCCTTAGGATTTAAACAATATCATCTTTTACATCTGCATTTGATGTAAACGTATCTGTTTCTGTTTGACAGGATTTAGCTTTCATTAAGCCATTTCTTTCTCTTCAACGTTCCTCGGTGTAGGGGGTCACAATCTTTTAAATACTGAATGCATTAGTTATACAATATTTAAATTCAAAATATTATGGAATAAATGCTACGTCGTGCTGTTAATAAACAGCGAGTGCTGCTGATGTTCAGAATGCGTCTGTCTGCCAGGCATTTCTGTGTGTTTTGTTGTTTCCTTTTGTTATACCATTTATTATTGTTGAAAAGCTAATTTAGTTTATTAAGTACGTATGGCTTCTCTTTTAGAGCTGCCAACAGTTGATAGGGAAATAATATCATTTAGACTAGATGGTAAAAGTGTCATGCAAATGATATGGTTTTAAGATCAGTTTGGTGGTGGCGAAAGCGTTATCCTTACAGCGAAGGAAGCTAAAGGAGATTTATTGGCAATGAATAGGCATTCGAAGCGATGGTGTTTGTGGTTCCCATTCCCTGGATGATCATTACAGATAATAATAATTGTTTTCTTGATATTACCGGGATTGGGGGGTGGTTCGAAGTCGGAATCGAGATACGATTTTCAGTAGAGCTTTAGGTATATCGTAGATATTAGGGAAGCAACGAATACACATTTCGCTGTTAGAAGTAATGGCGGGGTACAAATCGTAAACGAATCTATAAAATAGTAGTCACAAAATTGAGATTATTAATTAATACCGGGGGAATAATAATTGCCATTGAACTATATATATGTACAATATATATGTAGGTTCTCTGGCTTGTCAGATCTCGTTTCATGCTTTTAATGATAACTTAATGCATAATCATTATATTTAAGTCTCACAGAACTGTTTTTTGTTTAACGCACTTAAAGTCGACTTATTATAATTTGGGACACTCTTTCCAAGGATCCTCCAATCGAGTACGAGTATAACCCGATACTCTCACGTATATATTGTCGTTCTCACTACTACATAGCTTTCTTGGTGGTTACTACTTTCTTTCCGCTCGACAAAGGAGGAGTAATTATATTCAACTCTTTACGGGATAATATTTTATATTAATAACAACGGAATGGTATGGTTTTTTTATGCTTTTTTATGGGTAGTTGAGCGTTTTTTGGGAAGTACATATATATTGTGTGTCTGTTTATCTGTGTGTTTTGGCTTTGTATGTTTTTTAATGTTTTTGTGTGTAAATTAGTTTGGCTAGGCATTCGGATGCTCAGCTGTTTCCCAATAAACGCATCGAAACCCCCTTTTGAGATATACCCCAGATATACTATCTGATTGAAAGGAATATATGTTTTGTGTGATGTGTAGTTTACCCTGTTGACATATTCTGTTCTGTTCTGTTCTGCTCTCGATATATATATATGTTATATATCTGCTATATATATAGTCAGGTACGCGCTGCATTTCTCTAGTTAACATTCCTTTCACTGTTTAGTGGAAATCTACTACGAGGAACATTTCTTTTTGTTAAGTGTATGGGAGGAGTGGGGTGAGGGATATATTGTGTGTGTTTTTGGATTTATGTTTATAGTCCCTCGTGTTTGCCGTTTGGCTGCGACTCGCTCGCCTCCAAATCCCTCGATTCCCCCTCCACGGGAACAACATTCGGCCCTTCCGCATCCCCATTCTCGTCATCATCGTCATCACTGGAGTCCGCAAAGGTGTGCAAGGTAAGTCTGGCTTGGAAATCGTTCAAGGCCTGCTCGAAAAGATCGATGGTGTGCTGGTTGCTGGCTATCACCTGCTGGGTGTTCAACAGATCCTCGGTGGCGCTGAACAGGAGATCTTGAATAGAGCTGGAGTGTGAGGAGGCAAGCGAGCGCGATGTATGTGCAACTGCTCCTGGTGCTGCTGCTGTTTCAGAGTCCTGTAGATTGTTTGACATGATTTGCTCACCGCTGCTGCTGCTGGCATCCTCGCTGATGTTGCTGGCCGCCAGTCCCCGCGTCAGCTCATCCGCATGGGCCAGCGTGGAGCCAATGATGTCGCTGGCAATCCGGATGGCAGCGTCTGTGGCGGCAATTGTGGAAATGAAACTAGACGCAGCTGCTGCTGCTGTATTTGTCGTCGGTGGATTGGGTGCTGGTCGGCTGAACACAGTATCGCTGGTCACCTGGTTGCCCTCGATCCGGAGACCGGCCACTCCTTTCTTGGGTATGGTGGCCAAATCCCTTTTCACACGGCGGCAACGAGTGGGCTCGTTCTGACGCTGTTGCACTAGCTGCTCCAGATCGACCACGTAAACATAGCCGGCCACGAGTATGGAGCAGGATTTTTCGCCCTTCTTGAAGGCCTCCTCAATGTCCTGGCTGGTGCGGTAATCGTATTGCCACCAACCTGAAGATATATTTACGACAAGAATGTTTTTGGAGTTCGACCTCGTTTGGATCGTTAATCACAGTTTGTTTCGTGTTCTTTGGTTATTTTGGATGTGGGGATGGGCGGCGGTGGATGGGGGCTGAGGGATGGAATTTCGGATTGTGGTTAGTTGGAAGCGGGGTGCATGGGAATCCCGGCCACGCCTTGGTAGTTTGCAGGTGGTGGGTCCCCGAAACGGCGCCTCTGAATGACTCGAGTCTTGAATGGGTACGGATGAATCTGGCGCATTTTACAAAAGTCGATGCTACACACAAACCCACAAATCATTACCATTAAACGACTGGGGTGATGATTCTCTCTAGCGGCGCTGCTCTGCGGCTCACGGCCGCCACCGGATACGTACAGGTATTCGATTTCATCAGGATCATTCGAAATATTGACACGGCGCCAACCATTGCCATGCCGTTCTGGTTCTAGGGACTGCAACGGCGACGGCGGCGATGGTACCTCCTCCTGGGGATTATTCATCTTATAGGTCTCGTATTTCTCAAAGCCCTCTTCGATCTCTTCGTTAGTTCGCCTATCGTAGGCCCACCAGACCTCTAAATTGTGGTGAGTGGTGAGGGGTGAGTGCTTTTTGGTCTGGGCTGATGAGTTATCGTCTGGGAAATGCGGGGCGCCCGACACCAGAAATTATGCATGCTATACTTACCGTTGCGTCCCTCGTAGTACCATTGATAGCCATCCTCAGTGGCGCGGGTGGCCCAAATGTCCTCGATGCCATTCACTAGGGTTGGGTTATCCAGAAATTCGGTGGGGATCTCGCGTCGGCACATGGCACAACGACGATTCTTGTAAGCAACTCCCTGCAAAAAGAGACAAGGGATACATTTCGTTAGATAAATGCCGTCTCCCCCTCCACGCAAGCCACTGCCGTTGGATCCAGTTGCAAGCTCTCCCAGCAGCCAACTGGAAAATGCATTCAAGTGCTAATTGAAATACTTGTCCAAGGCCCAAACTGGTTGATCAAAATTTGAAATTGGACAAGTTTTCAGCCGGAAACCAATGGAAACATGTATCTGTGCTGTGGGCACGATTGTGCCACCTGGTAACAGGCGACTGGCAACTGGCAACTGGTGGCAATGCTAATCAATCGAGCTGCCAGCAGGCACCAAAGGGCTCAGAACAGCCTTGAACCTGCCTACGTGCTCCACAATACTCGCTCACCAACGGCGAATATTCAAAACTCGATTTGACGACGCGCTTCGCATAGGCAAGTGGCGGCGGAGAGGCTTCCGCATTTCGCGGGGCGGGTACTACGCACCTTTATGCAAAGGAAACAAAAAATGTGGCCGCAAGGGAGACGAGCTGGATGGATGCAAGTCTGGAGGCAGACGGCGCATTCCAATGGAGCGCTCTCTGTGCCCGATGCTCCATCAAATGCGGGAGGACCTACAAGAAGAAAAAAAAAAGGCATACAGCGGGTGCACACACGATTGACGGTTGCCTGGGTTGAAGGGGCTTACCCGTTTCCCCGTTGGTGGCGGTGGCCACAGGAGAGGGTCCTGTCTGGCGAGCAGCGCCAACAATGCCATTGGCGTCACGGGCGGCAGCAGCAGCCGAAGTGGACGGCATGTCGCGGGTGAGATCAATGGTCTCCAAGTACACCAATTCCTCTTCTTCGTCTGAGGAAATCACGATGACTTCGTTATTTATATCTTCGTTATAATTCGACATTTCGTTAACAACTAAAACTTATTTAACAATACAAAAAAACGAAGGGAACGTCTCGGACGTATGTCTTCGTTTTTTTTTTTTTTCTCAACAACAAAAAAGTGAAACAAAAAATGGTAGGCTACTAGGGATGTCCAATTGATATACTAATATATCGATATATTTGGTGTGGTTGTAATATATTTGAGTGATACTTTTTGAAGGGTTCGATACTTGTGTGCGATAAACGCAACTTAACGGCGCCTTATTTCAAAATCTTTGTTGGTACTTCCGTGCCCAGGAATGCCCGTGCCCAGAATATTGCTCGCTCCGCATACATTTTGCTGACCCATACCACTAACCACACAGTGAATATGTATGTGTCAGTTTATACAAAGAAATACAGATTTTGCTGCGTACGCTCCCAGGTCTTCGGCGCTGGTAGGCTTTTATATACTATGTGGACTAATAGCCAGTATAAACTTGGTCTGCGGCAAGCGTCTTTGCGTCTAGCTGTATTTATTTTTACATCTTTTTTTTAGCATAGGGGCCTAGTGGTGGCAAAAAGTTGCGTCCATTTTGAACGCATGAGCGTCTGCACTTTTCCCTTAACTCAACATATTTCCACTTCTGTGCCACTAATAAAAACAAAAACTTGCTCAAAGAAAAATATCTACTTTAAACTAATTGTATCTTTAGATAAGACATTTTTGTAAGCCCGCGATTCCACAAGGACACTGCTGGAGATATGGGAGGAGAAAATCAATGGTTTTCATGGTGTGAGAAATAACTCCCACAAACTCTATAAAGGGAAATAAAAAATAAATACTTATGAGGGTTAAGTGTCTTCGTCCATTTTCGTATCGTTTTCCATAATTTTGTTTAGTTTAAAAGTCCGATATCGATAGGAAATCCGCGGCAGTGTAAAAATCGCACACGCAATTAAGGACTCTCATCACTGATGCATATTAACTAGTATTGGGTAAACATTGCTCTTTTGGTGAACATGTTCACTTGTTCTTTTTTAGTAAGTGAGTCAACTCACTCAGATTGCTCACTTACTCACTTAGATTGCTCAGTTGCTGACTTGCTCACTCAGCTGCTCACTTGCTCACTGTTCATGCACAAATCATGCACCACAGTTTTTAATACAAAAAAAAAAAACGTTACATTTCAAACATTATACTCTCAGTTCTTTCTTAAGAGACCCTTGACGATTGCTGCCACTGATTGCTATTTCAACTCAGTCTAAGGCATCCCCCCAAATCTAGTTCACTCTTTAGGTTTTTGGAAACAATGCCAAGAGCATTGACATGTTGTGACTACTTGGAGAAAATACAGCATTACTATAGAATTCATTGTCAGAAAAACATCTATCAGCAACAAAAAAAAAAAAAAAAAAATTCAAAACCAAAGCCGATCTAAACGTGTTAAAACCAAATCATGTACAAAATCAAAAAGAGACCTAACCAGATCGTTGCTAAAAAGCGTAGCGATCTGGCTCGTAACATTGAAAGTCTCGACAGTGTCAAATCGAGCAGCAAGAAGAAGGGGAGTATCGATCAAAACAGCCTGGAGCCCATGGAGGTGGACAATATTCCGCATCCGGTCCTTCGACGCCGTCTCTCGAAACATGCTTCATCAACCGGGCAGAACGAGCATGAAATGATATCATCGCAGGATGAGGATATCATAAACTACATAAGTGGCTCATGGAACCTGTTAGTGACACCGAATCCCAGTGATTCGAGCATGACAGCCAACAATACAATTGGTCCGGAGGAAAGCACCTTGGTCAATACACAGGCTGACAACGACTCATTGGGGACTGTTTGGATAGAGCCCCCTAGTCCAGAGCTGGCGAATTTCAAGCCCTTCGATTTGGAATCCTGGTGGAGTCGTCGCTTGTTCGAGAGCATTACCAAAGACATATAAGAGGGCGTCTCAATTATTATTATTATTTCATTTATCAACACTTTTACAAAATGGGCTGAATTGGGTTGTGCGTGTGTGTAAAATAATAACAACAACAATAAGACAATTGAATGTTCTTTCCCTAGCAATCAATAACTATGACTATGCTGTATTCACGCGTGGGTAGCGTAGACTTTATTCGGTAGTAGTATTAGGAAAAGCATTAGTGGTAGGAAAAAGTTGCGTCTATTCGGAATATTGGACCATTTGCGGCCATAAAGACATGGCTGGATATATGGGCGATGGCTTTCGTGGCGTAAGGAAGAGCTCCCACGAACTGTCCAAAGAAGTGGCTGAATTTAATAAGCACAAGCTTTCTCGGGACGATTTCCAATGAAAATGCCTATTCTGCGTTATGGCGTCGATTCCGATACCGATAGGAAACGCGCGGCATTGTGAACTGGTGGCAGGGCTGGAAAATGCTGCACACCACAAAAACGCTACCGGCAAATATTTGAATTTGAATTTAAGTTAAAAACTAAAAAAAAAAAAACTTTTGAAATATGCTCGACTTATTTAGGCTTTATGCATTCCAGTGGTTGTCTGTGCAGCTCCCACATTAATAATGCTTTATTTAATTCAACAAAAAAAAAAATCAATTAAAATTATATGCTTCATTGGATGCAACACTTTTTGCCACTGTGTGTGCCATCTCTCCCGTCCACCCATCTGGCCATCTGCCCATCTGCCCATCTCCCACCTGTCGAAGGGGCATTTAACTTCATAAAAATTGACAGGCCTTGCCCAGAGGAGCGCTCGGACAGGCGCGAGGCAGCATCACGCACTTTTTAATATGCAGCCAGCATGCCACGAAAGTCCCCAAAAAAAGTGAAACACAACAACAGTCAGATGCAGTCCTGGACTCATTACATAAAAATCAATTTTTGGTTTATTTTTCCTTTCTCCGTGCATGTCATTTTTTGTCAATTACACACACACACACACACACACACACACACACGCACACACAACCACACAGTCGTCGGGCAGTGGCAGACAGACATTCAGACATTCAGACGGAAGGACTCTGCAGGGCAATTGCCTAATTGCGCGACAGACAAACGCGTTGTGAAGTCAACTGCCGACGAGTTTTGTAAATTACTGTCGTTCTGTCGATGTCCTTTCGGGCTGTTTAATGCACGTGTCCCTTCGGCGCGTTGGGGCGTTTTAAAAATGTGTTGCCTGCCCGGGGACCTGCTTTGCCCTGCTTCGACGTGATTTGCTTTTGGGAATACTCTCGTACTCTTAGTCTCACTCGTATGCACGCTCAAAAAATGGTTATTAGCAGATATTATTCCGACTATAAGATACCCACCAAAAATATACAAGAGCCCTGTACTTTTACTGAATGTTTTGCCAATAGACGTGCTCCTACAACCTTCTTTACAGTGTATGCAATAGATTCGCAGATGTACATTACTATATCCTGGGATTGTGGAACCAACACCTGCATGGGTACAGTCTACCCTCTGGGATGTACTGGGCACATAACCACACTATTTAGTATGCATGGCAAGTCCTTCAACTCTCGAGCACTCAACCCTTTATTGTCGGTGCTCGTTGCTGCACTTGTTGTTTTGTAATTGTTCTATGAGTGGTACAATTGAATTTTTATTCGCAGCAAACCATCAAGAAGGACATCAGAGAAGAAGAAAATACTATGATTGCCTCTTCATGGCGCTCCATGGCGCTCCATGGCGCTCCATGACTCTTCATTGCTTTGTGGCCACAAAGAGCAAAACCCATAAAAAAAACGAAAGGAAAGGAAAACCTCAAATCTTAATGTAATTATCAAGCCAGAAAATATAACCGTTTATGGCGGTAGACGCCTCAAGATTATTAACACAAAAGAGGGCTGGCAATGGTCGTCATAAGCATAAAAATATTGCCCAATTCTCCCACCCTTGCTGTTCTCTTTTTGTACCCCAAAAAAGGGAGGAAAAAATGGAATTTTCCTTGCACCCTCTTTGTAATAAGCTACTTTTGCATCTTTCCCACTTGTATTGCTCTTTATTTTATCATTTGCTCTGTCCCTGTCCTCTGCCCCTGCCCCTGCCCCTGTCCATGCCCCTGCCCTTTGCTGTACTTCCCTTAAACATTTTATTATCGCTCTTTTTGTGGGCGCTCGGTAAATCCCCTTAATCAACGAAAATTGTCTGTTCACACATGCCAGGATGGGCGAGAGGTGGGGTTATCGCGCCTAAAGCTTAAATAAATTTACGAGACAAATTTAGCACGATTTTCCTATTAAAATGTTGATTTTTCCACATATACTTAGTATATCGAAGCAACTGGGTTATGGGTTCCCTTGATCGACAAATTTAAAGTCGGTGCCCTCCGCCTTGAAGTATGCAACAGAGTCCTGTCGCAGTTGGCTTGGAAATGTGTCAATGCCTCTAATCAGTGAACTACTTTCCTTTCAGTGACCTTCCTTTGATCAGCAGTTGTGGGGGGGGGGACACTGAAACTCCCCCGAAACTCCACCCGTTTGTGGCGCGTTTTTTAATTAAAATATAAAAACGGTGGGGAGAACGTGCCGCGGTCGTTAGGCAATAAACTTGGACACCGCGCATCCTGCCGAGGACAATTACAAGGCGGAAAATGTCGCAACATTTTCCATCCTTATCGCTGGGTTCTGGCTGTTGGGTGCTTTAAGCGCAAGAATTCCGGGGCCTCGACATAAAGGCCAACGAATTAACGACATTGTAATGCTTATCTGAGAGAAAGGTCCTGTCCCGTCCTGTCCCTGCGTTCTCGATGGAGCAGAAGGGATATCCTTTCTCCATTGAAGAAAAATGTGCGGCAGGGGGGGGGGGGGGGCAAAAAATGTCTTGATTTTTTAATTTTAACGCTTTATTTAATTATGTGCAGACGAGACATCTTCAAGTTTTGCTAATAAAATGCTTAAGGAGTGTAGTGTCCTCTGCCCTCCTCCCGGGTCTTCCTTCTGCGCCATAAAGCCCCACAAAAAATGGGCTAAAAATTGCATTTTTTTCCCCCAGATTCGCTCTCTCTTTCTGTTTTTTTTTTTTTTTTAATAATAAAGACATCAACAGATGGGCGGCGATAAAAAGCCAAAGATTATGGGCTGGACAAAAGGGACAGACTACGAACTACAAAGGAGCATGAGCCTGGTCTGGGCCCTGGTCCTGCTCCTGGGCCAAGTGCCGTCGTGTGGCTTTTGGCTTTTGGCTTTTCACACCCCTCAGAAAAGAAGGAAAAAAACCAACAAGAAAAAAGGAAAAAACAGGCAACAGTTTCAGTTCCATTCAGATTCAGATTCCGAAGTGGAAATCGACAAAAGGCCAGACGCTGGAGATTTAGTTTTGAGCAGTTAACACTTGAACTCCGACCCCCCTGCTGTGAGAGTTTCTTATGTCCCTTTTTTATGTCCTTAAAGATAAGATTTTTTTGCCCATTCGCTCTTTGGCGTAATGCAAAAACTTTTAATTAGCTGGTAAAGGCAAAGGAGGAGGTCCTTTCCTCCTGCCTTCCCCTGCTCTCCCCTGGTCTTTTTTTACCTTCTGCTGCTTCCCTTCAATTGATTTCCAATTGGTGCTCTACAAATTTCACACGAAGGAGCATCCAATGAAAATGAAAATCAAAATCAAATATAAATCGAAATTGTTGTTTCCTTCCCCCCACGCCCATTCCATTGCAGTGAGGGGGATGTTTATGGCCTACTTATTGGCCATCGTTTGCCGATGGCTGACACCTGTTGTTGCGGCTCTCCCGTACTGGGCCCTGTGTGCTATCTCTGGTCTCTGGGCTGGCTGATTTAAATCTTTAAAATCAATATGCCAAGTGAGAAGCCCCCAAACAGATGCGACAGCTCCTGCCTCCTGCCTCCTGGCTCCTGGGTAAACAGGGCCAAGCAGGAAGCTCCAGTGACATCCTTGACAGGTGTGAGAATGGGGGCGGAATTTCAAGTTGACTTCTGTTCGCCTTCAGGCGTCAGACAGTTGGGCAAATTGAAATGGTTTAGATTACATTTGACATTTATAAGCGGATTGTGTCAAGCAAAAGATGGGGGGCTCCCAGAACAGCCAGGATCAGCGTTCGCTATAAAAGATGTGTATTTTAATTCAGACTTTACATCAAAAACCTTAAAAGAACTAGTTACAAAAAAAAACTAAGGCGATCGGTTCGATGTGGACCGTTCTACATGGAAAGAATGGTCTTCTTGATGATGTCGATGCTCTCGAGCATCTGGGCCTCATTGATGACCAGGGGCGGGGCAAAGCGTATGATGTCCCCATGCGTGGGCTTCGCCAGGAGGCCGTTTTCCTTGAGCCTGAGGCACACGTTCCAGGCATCGTACTCTATAGGAGGGAAACCCCATGGATTAGATACGGATCAATGGATCAATGGGTGCGGGTGGGTGCAATACTCACTCTGATTGATGACAATGGCATTCAGCAGTCCCTTGCCACGGACCACAGAGACGACATCCTTGGGCAGCTGTCCCAGCTCGTTGCGCAGGAGGTCACCCATTTTGTAGGCGTTCTCGGCCAGCTTCTCCTCCTGCAGCACCTCCAGGGCGGCCATGGCCACACGACAGCCGAGCGGATTGCCGCCGTAGGTGGAGCCATGCTCGCCGGGCTTGATGCAGAGCATCACCTGGTCGTTGCAGAGCACCGCCGAGACGGGGTACATGCCGCCGGACAGGGCCTTGCCCAGGATGAGGATGTCCGGCTGCACGTCCTCGTAGTTGACGGCCAGCATGCGGCCGGTGCGGGCCAGGCCCGTCTGCACCTCGTCCGCGATCCAGAGCACATTGTGCTTGCTGCACAGCTCACGGACCTTCTTCAGGTAGCCATCGCTGGGCACCACCACCCCGGCCTCGCCCTGGATGGGCTCGACCATGAACGCGCACACATTCGGATCCCGGAGGGCCTCCTCGAGGGCCGTGGTGTTGTCGTAGTCGATCAGCTCGAAGCCCGGCATGAAGGGGCCGAATCCCTCGTAGCTGCTGGGATCATTCGAGGCGGACACCGCCGACAGGGTGCGGCCCCAGAAGTTGTTCCTGGCAAAGATGATCTTGGCCTGGTTCTTGGGTATCTTCTTCTGCTCGTAGCCCCATTTGCGGGCCAGCTTGCAGGCCGTCTCGCCGCCCTCCACGCCGGTGTTCATGGGCAGGACTTTGTCGAAGCCAAAAAACTTGGTCACAAACTCCTCGTACTCGCCCAGGACATCCGAATAGAAGGCTCTACGAAGGGAAAGCATACATCTTTAAATCCAAGTCGGGATTTCTCTGGGTGTGCGCACATCGATCGAAATATTCCAAAAATATTCCTATCCCAGATCCAAGCCTTATCACGCGACTTCTGTTCCAAATTTAGAAATCGAAAAACAACAAATTGCGAGCCAAAACAAGTCATTGATCAGGCTCTTTCTTATCAATGCTTTCGCTCGCGACTTTACGGCCCCACTCAACCCGGCAATCTGCCCCTGGCAACCCAAACCGAAACCAACTAAAACCGGCAAGAGCTGTTCCAGCCCAAATCAGTTAGGCACTCGAGTGCAGCAGAATAATTCAATAAATAATATTCTGACAAATGCCCCATCCAAAAATTCGGTGGAGTGTGAATTTATACATGCATTCGAAACTGATTAGACTTGAGCCTGTTCCAGGGGGGTTATCAGTGAATAAACTATTTTTATGGCATCTAAATATACTAGTAGTTTGGGAAGTAAACACAAACTAGTGGCTCCCAATCGTCAGATGCGAAAAATGGTTGGAACTTGAGGGATTTTACATCCGTCGAAGCTCTTAATGAGCCAATCTAATCTCATCCAGACACATAAAAACCCCATGGATTAACAGGAAGGAAAGGGTATTTTTAAGGGCAACTTCAACGGCAGATCGATCTTTACAAAGACACTCATCCACAGTAAAAGAGCGTCACATGGTCCATGTATTTCTGTATCTTTAAACCTCCAAAGTAAGGCGTTGTCATCGGAAACGCACAGAGAACAAAGAAAGCCCAAACGACTTGTTTGCGGATCACTTGAAAGTACAACAACGAACGACGTAGTCCGCTCTTGAACTTGAATGGAAGGAACAGAGAGTATGTCTCTCTCGCACCAACTAGACCAAGGTCACTATCGCCACGAATATATCGAATGCTGACAAAGCTCCATGGAACCGATAAGCTTTTCGCGAGCACGGGGGGCACGTCTTTTGCTTGTCGATTATGGACGGAATGATATTATTTCTTATCTTAAGTTTATTCAACTCAGTGATGCCCTTACCTGGAGGTCAGAGCCAGCTTGGAGGCCTGTTCTGTGAGTGCCTTGACAATTTTGGGATGACAGTGTCCCTGGTTGACGGCGGAATAGGCGCTGAGGTAATCAAAGTATCGTTTACCCTCCACATCCCACACGTAGACGCCCTCGCCCTTGGCCAGGGCCACCGGCAGTGGATGGTAATTGTGGGCGCCGTACTTCTGCTCCCGGGCAAAGACAGCCTCGGACAGGTGGGATCCACTGGATGTGCCAGTGGCCTCTTTGGGCGCCGTCTTCTGGGCCAGGCAGCTCAGACGGGTGGCAATGCCGCGTGCGGAAAGCTTGGAGAACATTGTGAGAGCACTAATGGATCGCTAACTGGGGGGGTCTGATACTTCCACTCGCGAGACGACAACTGAAAGTGCGCTGGCCACAGGCGGCAGCTTTTTATACTGCCGATCGGGAGAGGCACATACGCGTCGAGAGCGTTACGTACCCCCTGCAAAGACAGCTCTATCTGGAACTAACATTCTCTCAGTGCTTCTTCCGCTCTCTGCGACTGGGACTGGCACTGGCACTGGCACTGGGCTCTATCTTGCTTACATTCTATTTTTGTATTATATGGAAATTATCATCTGATACTTGGGGAATATGATCCATGCAAACTCGTACTCGTACTTGTACTCGTACGTCTGCTGGTTGTTGTTGTTGTGCCTGGTGCCGGCTAATTGTAATCAGCAGAAAACTTTTCCACTGCTCGATTGATTGAGGCGCTCAAGCATGTGGAGGGCAGCTTTTTGTTAAACTCGCATGTATGTAGAAGCAAATTACAATTAAAAGCTTTTGCCATTCATGCTGGATATTCGCTTTGTCTCATAGAAATTTGAGAAACTTCTGACATGAGAGTGGAGGGAAAGAATGTGGAGAGATTCAACCAGAAAGTGGCAAGGAAATCAAGAATAAATCAAGAATATATAGACTAGATATAGATGCATTAATAATCCAATATATATGGAGTAGAACCCAAGATTCAGCTATGTATATGCTATCACTTGAAGGGCTTTGGTAATTTTATATCATCTGTGGGCATGCCCTTGCAACCTGGCCGCTGCCTGGGCGCGCAAACAGAAATCTGAAGGTTTGGTGCCGAGAATGCAAAAACAAAATACAGGTTTCTTGGGCTGGAAAGGTAATATATGAATGAATATATCAATATGGTTTGGGGAAAATCTTACAGAAAATATAGGATTAGAGAGAGAGATTTAAGAGACTTCTTTGATCATTTCTTTATTGCTTTAAAGAATAGAAACAATCAGCTCTTTGCTCAAACAAAACCCCTTTAGAAAACACTCCATACTTACCCAAACTTTGTATTCCATTATTGTATTTTATTACACTCAATGCGGATGCTGGGTACTGTTAATATTTGTATGTATTTATTTGATTTTTGTCATAAATAATTTATGGGCTTAAGAATTTACAACTAATTATTTGCTTACTGTTGAAACTATTTCTCATTTCTCGTATGTATGTATGTGTGTGTTTTTTTTCTTCAATCAAATATTTAACAATTATAGCACGTTCAGGGAAACTACGAATACATATTACATATACACGAATCGGATATATTATGGTAAGGTATATTTATAAGACAGTTTGAAAAGGCAACACATAAATTGCACTAGAAATTTCCATTTAAAAAAAAAAAAAAAATTGAAATTTACATGCCGAATTTTTACAGAGCAGGAGGGGAGGTGGGGAAGGGGGGGGGGGGGGGGGAAGGGAAAGAGCAGGCCCGAACACAGGAGGATGGGATGGAATGGCCAATTAAACACCCATTTGCTCGATTTTGTTGCTACGTTCCCATTAGCTACCACAAATACTCGCACAATACATATTTTATTTATTAATTAATTTTAATAAATTCACGCTTTGATTGCAATTATCAATTCGACCTTTGACACCTCCTCCGCTACTCCATGGCCTGGCCCACGCTCTGCTGCGGCGACTGGGCCGGGGACAAGCTGCGGGGCGTTGCTGCCGCCGCCTCTCCTCCATGTCCTCCAGAGCCAGCAGCACTTCTCTGTTGTTGCTGCTGTTGCTGTTGTTGTTGCTGCTGTTGCTGTTGCTGTTGCTGCTGCTGCTGGTTCTGGGCCTGGCTGAGCAGCTCCTTGTTCAAGCGATAGCTGCTCATGACATTGGCACAGCTTTGATGAAAATAGAAGTTGCGACCGCGCAGGAACGCATCCGTATTGAGATCCTTTATGCCTGTCTTGAAAGATATAGGAGAGAAAAAGGTTGGCAAGATATAGAAATAATCGCTGGCTATGTGCTTAGAGTAGATGTGTGTGTGTGTGTGCATCATCGTGGGGGTGTAGAGTGGAGTGGAGTGGAGTAGAAAGACAGTTAAAGACCACAAAAGATGGCAAGGGGTATCTATCTATCGTATCGTGCTGGACGGGGGACTAAAAAGTGAAACTGAAGCAAACTGAGAAATTACCTTACAAATGAAACATTTGTTTTCATCGTCCGGTTTTAAATCCGAACTAATTCCCACCTTTGTGTCCAATTGCGTTAATCCCGGCACTCCCATCGATGACAGCTGCGACAGGCTGTTCTCCATGCTCTCCACATATTTTGAGTTTGGATTGTTGTTGTTGTTGTTGTTGCTATTGCTGCTGTTGTTGTTGTTGTTGTTGTTGTGGGAAATATCCATGGGTCCGGGATCGGTGCTGGTAACCTGCGGCTCCGACCGGGGACGCTCTTCGATGGGCGAGATGTTCTCCAGAGATCTGCATCGGAGTAGAGGTTTTAGACACACCCGTGTCATCGATAATTATCGATATGCTGCTCACCTGCTGCTCCCCACATTCTGCTCCTCCTGCCGTCGCTGCTGCTGCATTTTGTTGTAATTCATTTTCGCGTTCGTCATCTTCATGGCGGTGTTGTTGTCATCATCATCCACAATCACATCCTCATCGCTATCGTTCTGGCACGAGGCCGTGTCCATCATTAGCTCCTTGTTGTTGTTGTTGTTGTTGTTGCTGCCGCCACCGCCACCGCCGCTGCTGCTGTTGTTGTCATTGACGCCCACGCCGCAGGAGTCGGCATTGTAGTAGTGGTGATGTGTGGTGGATGACAGCTCGCTGACGTTTTTCACTGAAAGACCCACAAACGGAATGGAGGTAGAGGTAAAGGTAGAGGCAGAGGCAGAGGTGTAATTATTAGCATAGCCCTTGGAGCTGGTAGCTGGGAGACCCACCACTGATATGTGCCTGAGGCGGCTCGCCCGTCGGCCAACTGCTGCTGCTGCTGCTGGCTGTTGTCACATTGGTGCTCACATCCTGCTCGTCGGCGTGCACGTCCTTCTGGTTCATGACGCAGGCGGTGCGGTACAGAATCCCGTCCAGCTTGCCCGGCTGGGCATTGCTGTTGTGCATGCTGGTGGGGACGCCAGCCGAGGCCAGGGCCGACCCGGGGCCAGCTAGCTCCGAGCCCGAGTCGGGCACGTCATCGGTGCAGCTCTCCACATCCACCGTTTCGATCTCCTCCTGCGACTTGGCATCGTCCTCGGGCATCTTGCCCGTTTCCAGGGCATACTTTCGCTTGCAGATCGGACAGCTGCTACAGTAGAGACTCTCCATCATGTACATCTCGCCGTACTTGCGCTTGCGCACTTTGAGTCTCAGGCGGTTCTGGCGATTGTTACGTATCCGCTGGAATGTCTGCACACACAAAGGACCAAAGGACCAAAGGAGAGCTCTTAGTTCTGGAAGCGTATAAGGACTCGTATAAGGAGAAGGCACCTACCTCCCAGCGGTTGTGACTGGTGCGTATGGCGTTCTCTTGGGCCGGACAGGGAGGGGCAAACATATAGGTCGCCTGCAGATTGGCCCGCTCGAAGCCCGCACTCAGCTTGTAGAGCCGGTCCAGCTCCGTGAGGAAGTGCGTGTGCCACTCCTCCGGGCTCAGCTTGAGGCCGCACACCGGACACATGTCGGGTATGGCCCCGCCGGCCGCCGCCGCCTGCAGTCCGCTGACCAGACTCAGGCCGCCCGGCACCGCCCGCAGACCGGCCATGCTCAGGCTGGCCAGCGCCGCATGATGGGCCGCATGGTGGTGGGACAACGGATGCGGATGGGCCATGTGGTGGTGTGTCGTTGCCACCGATCCCGGCGGCGCCCCCACATGGTGGCCGTGATGGGGATGCGAGTGCGAGTGCTGATGCTGGTGCTGGTGCTGGTGCGGATGCGAGTGCGAAAGCGAGTGCGTGTGATGCAGATGGGGCGAGGCGGCCAGATGTGTGGCCATCGAGACGGCCACACTGCTGGTGGGCGTGCTGATGGCCGAATTGCTGGTCGAGCAGGATGAGGACGAGGATGAGCTGGATGCCGATGCCGATGCCGAGGCCGAGGCCGAGGAGGTGGCCATTGCCGGGTGTCCTCCTCCCTTCCCCACATTATGCAGATCTGTGAACGAATCGGACACTAAATTTTAGACATGCCCGCAATCATCAATCAACTGCAAGGCAATAAAAAATTGGAAAAATTCCAACCCCCCTTCCAATCCGAGTCCCACATTGATTTCCATTCTGCTGCCGCATGGGTGGGAGGGAGTCCTGCCTGTCCCATAAATTTCTCAGGCATTTTCTAATTGCCCCCTACCCCCGCCCCTCCCCCGCCCCGCTCTGCGCTGTTCTGCACATTTTTAACAGAGGAACAAAAATTAATTGGAGCTCGTAATTTTGTGGAGAGAATCAGCGCCAGAAACAGGACAAGCAAACACACACAACTCTCGGCCGCAGATTCCTCATGTCAGACACACGTCCCCACGTATTTTGGGAGCCACAGGCACACGGCACACGGCACAAGTCACAAAAAGAAAAACCACCGTCAACCACAATAAATACAAACTGTTTGCTGGCCCAAAAACCCCACCCCCACCCCCCACCAAACAAAATCCCGCTCTCCTTCTGCACGTGACTGTTCGGTTGGCAATTAAAATAATATTACAATAAAATATATCGCAATATGGTGGAGAGCAGAGGTCAGGACCAGGCCCACTACAATTGCTGTATTTTATATTTATATTCCTCTAAAATATGTCGGTTAACCGCGGCCAAACAGAAACATTCAGCGGTCAATGGCGGATGGAAATGGTCCATGGATATAGAGAAGGAGAGCGAGATCCATCCGAGTCGTGACTCTGGTTCAAATTAGCTTAGATGTGGCTTGTGGATGTGTTTCGGCTTTCAGTTTCGCCCTGGAATCGTACAACTATTTTCAAAGACGAAACGGAGGATAGCTAGAAGTTTGAAGAACCTTCTTTCGAATCGAATTTAGTGGCCGGAACACCCCGGAACACAACTAAATTAAATTCGGGCTCAAAGGCTGGAGTCCCCTTCTAATATGGTATGCAAAGCTTCAACTCTGACTGGACTGACTTCTCCGGCAAGTTATTATAATATTAGTTATCAATGACCAACCCCGCCCCCCTCCCCCCCCCCCCCCCCCCCCCCCCCCCCACCACCCTTACAACCCGCTCGCAGTGTCACGTGCTCGGCGACGACCAAAAAGGGGGCGTTCCCATATATCGTTATATGAAATATGAGTTTCGTTCCTCTGGTTTTTGGTGCTTTTTCGGGTGGCGGGTGGCTGCGGATGCCCATTAATATTACCGAAATTAATATGAAAATTCCAAGTGTGCATTCAATATAATACATCATCGGGGCAACAAAAACAACAAGAGTCCCAGGGATATACTTGTAATAATAATAATTCTCGTCATAACAATAGCAAACAATGCAATCAAAGCGATTTGCAACACTTGCGCATCCTTTGAGCGAGGAAAAAAAAAAACAACAACGCGTTTTACGAGTGGAGTCCCGCAATAAATGAGCAAACATTATGGTATCGAAAAAGGATGGCGGGATGGCAGGATGGCAGGATGGCAGGATGGCAAGATGGTGGTGGCTTCCTTGTAATTGCCTCTAGAAGAGTTGCAACAATGTCGAGGATAAGTAATTAGCCCTGGAAACGGAGAGGAGGTAACGTCCGTCGTCTTCGTGTGCCGAGCACGAGCAGGAGCACGAGCCAGAGCCCTGGCTCCTGCCAAAAGGATGCGGTTTGACTTTGTAGTCAAGTGGCTTGTGTCCTGGTGTCCTTGTGTCCCTGTGTCCCCCTGTGTGCCTGGGGGGGTTGATGTTACATTTCAATAAGGCCTACTCCAGTCAAGTCGCGTACTCGTTGTGCCATTTAAAACACTTTGGCCACACGCACACCCTGCCCCCTGCTAACCCTTTTCTCTTTTCTCCGTCGAATGCCCTTTTGACTTTTGCCGCATGTCGCATCCCCCCCACAGGAACGGGGCACAGGAGGCACAGGAGGAGGTGCACGGAACGGAACTCAGGGCCAGGGCTCGACTGCCGGCTGTTTACCTTTAGTTAGTTTTCACCCATTGATAGATGCTCGGAGATGCCTTCATATCAGTTTCAGCTAATTAAAAGTGTATTATTTATCCAAATTAATTTATGGGCTAAGCCCATTCAGGTCTAAGCCAAAAGTTAAACAACACCGACAATCCACATGTAGAGCGGCTTTCTGTTCTGGTTACGGTGCTCTGCTCTGGTGTGCTCTGGTGTGCTCTGGTGTGCTCTGGTGTGGGCTGAGGCCGGAAAAACTGGTTTTCCGGCTTAAGTTGAAAGGCAAATAATGGCCAAAATAAACAGTTGTCTGTGTGTGTTGGACAGGGGTGTTGCCGCCCAAAGGGGGCCTGTGGATATGGGGAAATGGCTTCTAGAATTTTGGAAATACGTATGTCGGCTATCGGTTAATATTTGTCAGGGTATCCAGTATAATCTATGTTTAATCGCTTTGTTACTGTACTGCAGGTCCAACCCACAAGTCTGGCGAAGCCTTCGTAGGCCAAATAGTACCTATGACACGATTGCTGGTCCTTCACCATGGAGTCTGTGCGTCGTCTCTCGTTATCTAGCACTTATGAGCGAGTATTTCAATGATCAGCGAGTTCCGCTATAGAATAGGCAAATGACAAGAGTAACGGCCAGCAGAAGATCATACACTGAGAGCCATCTGAGAGAAATGTCTTCGAGTATATTCTCCGATTCACTCGGCATTATCCGAAAGCCCTTCACCTCTAGTCTTATGCCCCTTTTTCAGCTGCGCCCCTGTGCCAGGCGCTCATCTATCCCCATCCCTTAGATGTGTTTGGTTAATTTCCATTCCGTATTTCCGTATTTATCATTTTCATATGCTGCCGCTTAATTTGTATCATAAGGCGCTTAACTCGAACAGCTTTGCCGAGCCCCAGGACCAATTAGCAACGCATTTGAGCCAGATTTGCTTAGCCCATATTCGGGAAGAGTCCGAAGCCCGACTTTAAAGCAGGAAAGCATCCCCCAGGTAAATGGTAAATATGCGAAATTGATTTAGAATGTCTGGGGGACGTAAAAAACTAATAAAAAAGAAAGTAGAGTGAAGTGGAGTGCGTTCTGGGAGTGGGTTCTGCGTCCTGTCTGGGGACTGGGGACTGGGGTATGGCCTTACGCCTGCCAGTCAAAGTTAACCCACTGAAGCGTTAAAATTGCTCAGTAAAAGTAAAATTGAAACAAATACGAGTACGAATACGAGTACGAGTACGCGTACGCCCAGTGAGATTTTTATCAGGAAAATTGGGAAAAAAAGGAAAAAGGAAAAAGGCAACACAACTTTCTACGCCCAATTTTGAGAAATTTTTTGCCATGCAAATTTTTGTTTGGCTCAGATGTAAATTTGCTAAATAAATAAGGGAATCGCAATCGGAATGGAAATGGAAATAAAAGTGGAGATAGGCAGCAGCCAACCCTACTTACGTCTCAAATCCCTGGGATCCTGAGAATTATTACTGCGCGGACTTTCACCCTTTTCAACGGCATCGTAATCCTGTGATCCCTCCATGGATTCATGGGATGTGCATGTGGGACTGGCCGAATCCGTGCGAAATGATTCGCTGCCATTGAACAGATTCTGCTGGAGAGAGAGAGCGAGAGCGAGAGAAATCGAAATCCCATTATGACAAGTGTCAATCTTTCAACGATTATCAGCTCATCGGATCTGCTGTGCCACCACCCCCCTCTCCGACCCCACTCACCTGATCCAACGATATGCCAATGTATTTCGGGGGCGAGAAGGCCGACGGCAGCGAGAAGTTCGACAGCACCGACGGCTTGCCCAGCGGCGATCTGTCGCTGGCGAAGTAGCTCGCGGGACCCCCGCCGGCGGCTGCCGCGGCCGCGGCGGCCCCGTTGGCCACCAGCATTCCATGGTTGAGGGTCTGCAGCAGGTGCGGATGGAAGTAGTTGCCGACTAGTGACATGTTGTGTAGATCTTTGGCGTCAGGTAACTGAAAGGGGAAAAACTGGAGAGTATCAGTATGATGGGGTTTGCTCCGAAACACTTTTGGAGTAACACTGAAACGGAATCTTCAAGGCCAACGCATGCGGGCTGTTCCCTGTTATTTAAGCACTACATTTGCTAGATCTACTCTAAATAGTGGAATATTCACGCTTAGATTCATTTCTCACAAGACTGGAAATTGTACAAAAAAAAAAATATAGACATTTCAAATAAATATATTTTCAACAAATGTAATATTTTTTATATTTATTTTCAAGTGTTTTATATTCAAATTAAATACTTTTATTTATGGAAAACAATTGATTTAAATATATTTCATATTTAAAATAAATATATTTTCTACAAATTTAAATTTTATATTTAAATTAAATACTTTTATTTATGGAAAATAATTGATTAAAATATACGGCCTGGCCCGTAGTAGCCGTCGCTATGAATTCTCTGACTTACATTTACTGTGAAATTATTTAAAATATTTAGTTATAACTCCAAAAAGTTGCTAATGGAAATTTCTATGCGGTGGGAGCAAAACAAGCCTTTGGTTAGAATAAGACTAAAAATAATCGTAATATTTAAACCAATAGAAAATTTATAAGCTTATAATAGAATGGTGCAATGCACTGTAGCTCTATTCAAGGCAACGGGACGTGTGGAAATATCCCACAGAGCAGGGCAAAAATAGAAATTCTCGTCAGAGAGGATATAAAGAAATTGCGCTGATTTGGGTAAGAAAAAGAAACCAAATTTGAGCCGTACGACCATTAAAAATGTAATTTAAAATTCGTTCGGGATGAAAGTTTACAAAAAAAAGCATACTCGTATCCACAGCCCCCATTGAGTGGCAACAAAAAATGACACAAAAAGAAGATTTTTGATCTTGACACAAAATAGAAATTACAGATCGGAAAATTATCAGAAAATGCCAAGTTGTAGGCAAAAAACATGGTAAATATTCTAGCTAATCAGAAAGCAAAATAGAGGTATAAAAATACGATATCTTTTAGGATTTTGATTTTATGGTTCAAAAGCATCTCCATTCCGCTCTATCCATCTGAATTTTAATATAAATTCATTGGACTTTGGGGTATATGGGGGTTATAATGCTGGAAGGCCTAAAAATCATGAGTTGGAGGCGAAATTCGCAATGAGGTCGGTTCCCAATCGACTATTATAAAAAGAATAAAAAGCCTAAAAGATACACCAGTTTTTGATTTCTTCGAAAAGCTAGGTGCAGGCCACCCTGTAAATATATTTCCTACAATTTCAATATATTATATTTATTTTAAAGTGTTATAGTTAGTTCGATTAAATATGGAACGTATTAAAAATACGCCTGAACACATTTGAATGTGAATTTTATTTAAAAACAGAATATTTAGTTTCTGTGAGTGTATTCCATAAACAACTACTAAAATCTATGTAAAATATTTAGTAGGTCCGCTTTAGCTTATCCATTCTATCAACAGGAAGGAATCTAAGCTCGAAGAAAATCAAGATCCGCATTTTCGCGGCGGCTCCCCTAATTGCTGTATTCCGACACGTACCCCAAGTGCCCCACCAAGCGGGAGTTTTGACAGGCTAAGTGAGCGTTAAATTTAAGCGTTTAATATGCGCATTACTTGAGTCTAGGCCATGGAACCGCACAACAAATTATGGTGGCTACATGACTTGGCGCTAAAATTAGCCAATTACGGCATCACCTTCCTTCCCAGAGAGAGAGAGAGCCCGGATGCTGCCAGGCAACATATGGAGCGGGGCGTATGGAAAAGTGCAAGAAATCATTGCAAAACCTAATCGAATTCCACAGAATCAGGACACCCTTGAGTGTGGCATGTTCTTGGGGTATTTGCATCGATAGAAATTTTGCAGGGGAAGGAGAAATGAAGGAGAAATGTTTAATTTACGACAAATAAATGTTAAATTGAGAGATTTTCGAATTACGATATCGAGTCTCGTCGCATAAACTGTGTCACTCTGGCACTCGATGTGTGCCAGGCAGGGAGGGGGGGCTGTACGTTCCAATGGGGTGTAAAATAACGAGAAAAACCCACCCACACACGCATAAAGACTTTTGCAAATAATATGGGTAAACCGGGAGGGGGGCAGGGGGGTGGCTGGGGGAGTTTTCCAACTCCCGATAACCGACGGGAACGTAAAGCGCTCATAACAAATTGAGGCTGACGAGTGTTAAGCGGCGGCTTGGGACAGACAGACAAGATACGAGTATAACATAAGCGACGACATGTGTGACAAGTATTAACCCAGCCACCCATCCAACCCATCCAACCCATGCCACCCATACCACCCTCCTATCCTCATTTCTATTTGCAGTAACCCCTCCCTGGATATGTTTTCTGGGCAAAAATTTACATACAAATTTGTCTGGCAAGGAAAGTTTTTTTTTTGGGCATAAAGTGTGAGAAAATGATATCGAAAATGTTCGAGTGGAGTTGGAAATTGTTGGTTTATTTATGGATGATCTAATTTAGGGATATTACGGACAGTAAATGGGGTTTAAAGATTGGAATAACCAACCGACAGCAATCTTTAGACTCTTTTGCTTGGATGTTCCCTTGGGTTGAATCACATCTCCAGGCATTGGACAATCTGGGCTAATCAATCGCATCAATTAAACTGGAAAATCCCTCCTTCGACAGTTGCTTAATCCATGGCCAGTGGCCCTTGGCCATTGGTTAATCACCCGCCCGTCCGTTGTCCTGTCCCAGCCAGGCCCAAATCAGAGCCAATAAATTAGGGCTTATCAACGGAAATTAGCACCTCAATTTGGGGGCTAGCCGTTGCAGCATATGTTGCCATATCAGCTCCATCATCATCATCATCCTCCTCGTCCTCGTCCTCGTCCTGCCGTGCAGCCTAATGCTGGTAATGTTGCAAGTCAGACGGAATGGAATAGAAGGGGATGTGGCATACAACCGCATGAGTTGCACTTTGTCTAAGTCTGCAGTTTGGTCAACAGCTGGCCCCGCCGCAGGGGATAACGATGGCAATGGGGATGGGCATCGGGCCCCAAAACAGAAGTGGTCAACCACTTGGCTGTGCACTCTCTGGCGGGGAACCGTCACATCACGAGTTTTTAATGCATTACGTGTTGAAGAGTGTTTACGGCGAGGACTCGGCCACGGCCTCGGCGCTTATTGATTTATGCCTGTTAATCAGTGTTAAGCCAAGGACAAACCAGAGCAGGTGCTGTAACCACCCTCCAGCCTCCAGGGTGCTACCCTCGTTGTTGTTTGCTTTTCTATTAGAGGGCCGTCGGACGGGTGCGGGGGGTGATTTGTTATCCCAAAATAAAACATTCCTGCTCTTGTCTGAGATTTGCATAAATTCGTTCTGTGTTTGTTCTTTTTAACACTTGAATTATTGCCTCTCTCCCTCTCCCTCTCCCTGTGCCTCTCCTGCCACTGGAGATGTATCTGTATCTGTATCTGTATCCGTATCTGTGTTTATTCTGTTAAGTTGCAACTCTCAGCTGCAGCTAGAGCTCTGGAAGAGCAGCAACAATAACAGCTTAATTACAACAACACGATAACGAGTGGCAAATAGCAATTGTCTACATACAATTGCCAATTTCGCTTAACTTGGCCATAAACAACAACAAAACGACAGCCCCGGCGGAGAAGTCAACACACAAAACCGAACCAAACCGAACCGAACCGAACCAATCGCAACAACTTGGGGCCTCCTCTCCACACACCACAAATAAATCTCAATTTGTGGCACTAACACGCGGAGTAAACTGCGGGCAGCAGCAGCAGCAGCAGCAGCAGAAGGGAACACTAAAAACGTTTAGCAATTGGCAATTTTCTCAAACCAAATGTTTATGGGGCGAGAGTCCGAGAGATTCAGTCGGTCTCCTCAACCTGTTCGACTGTCCGACTGTTTGCTCGAGTGCTTTGCGGTCCAGTGAAGAGGAATCCCAAAAGGAGATACCATTTTTTGATAGCATAAGTTGAGGGGTCTTTGAAGTCAAGTCAAAAGGTGGAAGGAAGTATTTTCTCGATTGAATATTCGGTAAGTTTTCCATGTAATATTATTCCCATTTCTTGGTCTTCCATCTTGTTCTTTGGTGTTTCTTTATCCTGCAAACCAGCAATCTACTACTAGCTGGTATCTTCCATCTTTAGTGGCTCTTGTTGTCCGTTCACACCATATGTTTTACCTCCATTGTGGCATGGTCCCGCCCTTCTTGTATCTCTCCGTTCGGAGGCATACCTTAAGCCGACTATCAGTGACCATTTGTGCACATGATACTGGGGCACTCTTCATGAGTACTTCTTGTTATACGCCTCGATGCCTTTGCATGCCTCGACTCCACGTGTAGTTCCCGTCTTGATAAATTGCTATAAATTAAATTAAGCTCGCTCACACACACACACACACACAGAGCTCACATCCACATACTTTGTGGTAATAAGTGTGCAGAAAAAAAGGAATTATTTTTCATATGTTGTCCCCGCCTCAGAGACTCATAATTTCTCTCCCACCCTGAGAGAGACCAGGCCAGGCCAGGGTGCCTGACCATTTTTTCTGGTTCTTTTTCGACAGGAGGGGGCTCAGTTGTCAGTCGTCTACCTTTTGTTGGTGTGGTTACAAAATTGTTATGATGTTGTCCCACCCAGACACCCAGTCGTGGAACGGGAGTACCAGTACCAGTACCAGTGGCAGTGGCAGTGGCAGTGGCAGGGAGACATTAAACCATTTGACATTGCATTTAATATGCCTGCTTGGGTTGTTTTTATTAATTTTTATTGTTTGGGTTATGCTTGGCTATAAATGGTTACATAAATAATGCTAGATAAGCGATAAAGAGAGAGAGAGAGGGAGCTATTTTGCAAGAATTTTCCGAAAGGACAAAGTTTGTATAGGGTGGCTCCCCAAAGATATTGGAAAACCATGAGCCATTGAGTTCTTTATATGGAAAGCTCTCCAATCAAAAGAGAAACGTATCACATGGAATGGCACTGCTTTCACTTTACTTCACTTGTATTTGTATTCCATAAAAAACTATTTGCCCCTTTTCTAGGTACAGCTTCGATCCCAGAATGCAGAGAACAGAACCCAACTCGCATCTAGAGGACGAGGACATATTGTTGTCATGTTTAACATATCTTAACGCTACTCAATGCTATGCACTGGCAGAGATATAATTTCAATTCCGATTCCAGCTCCATCTCCAGCTCCTCCAATTCCGAATAACCAGTTTCGCCAGAAGTTAGTTATTCCAAGTACGTTGGACTGGCTGACTGCCTGCAGTCGGAACATCATCAGCGTTCGAGTTCTTCATCATTTGTAGCATCAGCGTCAAGATCATTGCTCATGTTTACAATGATGACAGGCAGAGGAGCAGCAGAAGCAGCAGAAACAACCGAAGCCCCAACCAAATCGAATGTGGAATGGTAGTAGCTGCTGCTGGTCTGTGGGATCCGGGGGCTACGTGGCTGCCATCAGGCCCGGTTCAGGCCGAGGTTCGGTATTGAAGCTATCATAAATCTGTTCGTCGCAAAAATCTACACACAATGGGGCGTTTGCAAACGCATTCGTTGATCGGAATGCGACGACGAACTCTCTGAATCTGCCTCTCTCTTGACTGACTTCTTGGCTGCGGCGGCAGGGGGAATGGGAATGCGATCGTGACACGACTCAGAAACACGATCAAACCAATTACTGGATAGTTTTACCAAAAACACACACAACTATGGAAAACGTCGCCTTCAGCCATGCTTTCTCTATGATTCTCTCCTAATTTATGATCTCTTGCTCACGCTGTCATCTCTAGGAGTGGAATTTCACGTGTTCGTTTTTGTGGGTTTTCAGTGCGAATTGACTGACGTCGGGGATCTGGACTGGTGGCGTGACACGGTCCCCAATTACCGACAGAAACCCATACTTTCTCTTTCTCTTTGATCCTCTCCTAATTTATGATCTCTCGCTCACGCTGCCATCGCTAGGCGATACTTTTCTCAACTGGAAGTTCACTTGGAAGTTCTGGTTCGTTTTGTTGTTTTACAATGCGCATTGTTTTGCCTTTGCGGGGCCTTAGCGGTGTGCTGATTTATAGCATCTTTCGGCATTTCGGCTACTGGCCCCCAGGTTTATGATTTGTCATAAATATGTCCCCACCACCGCCGGTCCCTGCCCTTCCTTGGCATCAGCTTCAGCACCGAACCTGATCCTGATCCCGATCCCGATTCCGATTCCCATTCCGATTCTGATCAGTGTTTCGTATCCCTTGCATTGCAATGCATTGGGTGGGGAGGGGAGGGGAGGCGGATTGGGATGCGATTGGGTTTTACTTACTCGCGATGGAAACGGACGTTGTCCACGTAGAGCCTCATGCAAACCGGAAGCGGCCTCTGATAGAACAACAAGCGCTTGAGATGGCAAATGGCTGCTGCCAAATGCGTTGCTTTCCATCTGCCAATTGTTTTTTGTTTTTGTTTTTGTTTTGGTTTTGTTTTTCTCTTATTTTGTTGTCGCTTCTTGCTGTTAACTTTTGATTTCAACTAATTTGGCACACAAATAAAAATACTTTCACTTTCTCTTCTTTATTGGCACATGCAAAATTTAGAAAAAAAAAATTGTTTCGAATATCATTTGAAACTGTTTTCGCGCGGCGTCGGTAAATTAACGGTACGGTAACGGATGGATCAGCTGACTCGGTCTCTTTCTCGTTCTCGCTCTCGACACAGGCATGCACCCGCACGTTCCCGTTGCAAAAATCCAACTGAGGCGCTGCTTTCGAATCCAGTTGGATTTTTCGTCGCTGGCTTCTCCTTCGCCGCTGCGCAGTCGGCGCTAGAGGAGCGCAACGGCTGCGATGCTCCGATTGGCCGGCGGCCACAACCGGTTTGCGTGCCCTATAGACGTCCCGCTCTGGCGCAGGGCAGGGGCATACACACACCACACCGGTCGCTGGCTTTTACATTATGTTCTCACCTCTTTTGCTGGTTGCTGGCTTCTGGTTGCTGGCTCGAGTTTGTTTTTCCTGCTGCTGCATTATTATTCCAAAATGGTTGCATGTTTGTCTGTTTTTATCTCTGCCATTGTACGCCTGTTTGTCTGCCAGCACCTGGTGCCCTGGGATGGGGATCTGGGACGGACCGGACCCCGGCACCACGGGACTGGTACTTCTACTTCTACTGCTACTGCTACTTCTACTGGGGACTTCCCTTTGGCTCCCCTCCCATCTTCTGGCTCCTCTCCTCTCCTCGCCGCTCTGCTCAACTTCTGACATTTTGTGTAAATAAACCGTATGGGAAACATTTTTTTTTTTTACTTTTGGCTTTGGTATTTTGTTGCCTGCCTTGTTGGTCGGACACTGTCCTGGACGGGAATGGGTATGGAACTGGACGGGACGGGACTGGCCTGGCCTGGACTGGCCTGGACTGGGCAAAGTATCTTGGAAGTCTGTCTTTCTTTCTTTTTTTGCTGCCGCTTCTCGTTGGTTTTTTGTTTGCCGGACACTTAATATAGCACATTACCGTGGTATTTATTGGGCACACTAGTGCGAAATTATTTAGGACATACGCAGAGAAAACAAATTCCGAAAATTGGGGTCTTTTATGTTCCAAAAATATGTGACAATACGAAATTCTCTGCTGTCCTGTGAATAAATCCTATTATTCCTATAAAAGAGTGTTGAATCATCTTTTTCTTTTCCGATCCCATCATCAATAGAAGAGTCGATATAGCCATGTCTGTCCGTCCGCCCAGTCTTTAGACTACAGACTTTTATGATATTCCAGTGAATCAAGTTTGTTTCAAAACTTTGTCACGCCCCTTTCCGCCCCCACAAGGGACGAAAATCTGTGGCATCCACAATTTTGAAGATATGAAAAAAAAACCGAAATATTCTATATTCCAGATTGCAGAATCTGAGTTTGATCCGATCATTATTATAGCTACCCCTTCCACGTGCTTACTCATTCTATCTTTATTTCTCACACGCTCTTCCTCGTGCAGTGTGCGCCCCTGGCGGAAGCAAGTGGGATAGGAACACAGCTGGTGTTGATTTGAGAAGAGAGAGAGAGACAGATGTAGCGGAATACCACAGTTGCGGAAAAAGGGAAACACATGAAGTATTCTAAAATACTGATCGAATAGGTACCCCCTATAAACCTATATGAAAGAGATCGCGGAGAGATCCCTCTTTTCACGCAACAATCCATTACCAACAAATGGATTCGTCCCTTTTATGAAAAGAGAAAGTGAGAGGATGCGACCACTTCCGGTGCTTACGTCTAACTAGGTATAAAATATATTGTATAGGCTATGTGAATCATAAGCTCACATACTCTATATATATGTATATGCTGAATGCGTTTAAGGTACACATGTAGAGTCACCGCCCTTGCCGCGGCTAACAACGTTCCCTCTTGTTTTTACATAATTCAAACACCTTATAAATTCTGAATATATTTCATTATATATCTGTGATGTACCTATAGAAATGCTCTATAGATTGATATCTCTTAAGAGAAATTGTCAATGTTTTTGAGCTAAACACTTCCTGAAATCCTGATATATTTTCCAAAATTTCTGTGTTTTTCCCACTGTAAACTTTGGTTCAAAAGGATATATATTTGTGAATCATGTGAAAGTCGTATTCCAAGTTCTGGTCCAATATTTTCTGCTCTTCTTAGCTTCAAAGTTTTGGTTCTCTGAAGGAACTAGAAATTAGAGAATCCTGCGAATAGGGTCGTATTTTTCGCACCTTTCCAGGCCTGTTCCCCACTGTAAACTGTTTGTGGCAACTGCCTACAAACTGAAATAGTTGTGTCACACAATATTACTAAAGCAACAACTGCAATTACAACAACGAATGCGACATGGACGGCAACAACCACTGTGTGTACACCGTACAGTGGACACTATAAAAACCTTAACCCGTCTGCGTTCATCTTTTTTTGTGCGGCTCGAGGTATCTTCTCCCTTTTGGCCTCGTTGTGATTTCCACTGTGTCGGACTAACTAAATAAAGTATTTTCCTTGCAATTTACTGGAGAAGATGGAATGGAGGAGCACTGCAGCAGTACAGCAGTACAGCACCACAGAACAACAGGAGCAAGGAAGAAATTTGTGTAGAAAAAGCGGTGCAGACCTTTTCTGACATGTTTATGGGGACCTGTCCGTCAAAAGGAGGCAGTTGACACCACTTCATCGCCCGCACCGGCCCACAGGATCCCATGCCTTTAATTGGTGGCTAGTAAATTTTCTCTTCGCCATGTTTGGAGGCCTCAGAGATCGCCTCGAGAACGATTTCTTCTAATTTTTTGCTCATTAAATTTACATTTTAAGCATTCCTCTAAAGCAGAGAGAGAAAAGGAGAGGTTTGCACTTTATAATTTCCAGCAGCCTGCCCTCGGTCTGGTTTATTACCCACCCATCAGCGAGGGAGGGAGAGGCCCACATGGTGGTGCAGACAGAGTGGGGAAGAGAGTGAGAGTGAGACACAGATAGGAGATTGGATAGGAAATACTGGATACTTCGTCGGGCGCATGCGCCGACGTTGGCGGTAGCCTACATTATGTGTCTATGCCGACTCGGAGTCAGCTCCGACTCCGCGACTCCCAGTCCGGGTCCGAGTCCGAGTCCGAGTACATAGAACGTAGAGGCTCCCAGGCAGAGGTAACTAAGTCTTCCTTCGACTGGCGACTGGTGACTGCCAACTGGCGACTGGCGACTGGCGACTGCCGACTGCCGACTGGCGACTGGCAGCGACTGCCATGTACAGGACTTGTACTGCATTTCGGGTTGGCAGTAGATTTTTCATTTTATTTATGTGCTGATTGCCATTCTGCCTCTGCCTCTGGCTCTGCCACTGCCACTGCCACTGCCCCATGCTCCTGCCCCATGCTCCGTCACCGTCTCTGCCTCTGGCTCTGCCCTTGCACCATTTTCCTGCTCATCTCTTTGTCAGTTTGTCAGCTTCTCAGCTACAAAATTAAATACTTGTCTCTGATCTGTCGTTTTTTTTCTTGCTCTGTTCTACTGTGGGGCGTGTGGGTGTGGCTCTCGCTCTTTATATAGCCAAGTGTCGTCTGTCTTGGCCCTCTGCTCCTCCTCGCACACATACATATGTACGTCTTGGCGCTGACAACTAATTTATGTAGTGGCCAGATAGCAGCTGCTACAACTTTAGCCTCTCACAGTTCTTTAATAATCTTTCGTGTTTTTTTTTTATTATTTTTTATTTCATTTTTTTTCCCCATTTTCGCAAACAATTTCTTATAATTTAGTATGCCCAAGTGACGTGTGGTGCGGTACAGTCCTATAAGTGTGTTCTGTGGGTGCCTACCATATAAATTTGATGATGGACAGCAAATTAGATATTAATTGGTGGACATTTTGATGGCTTGTTTGTTGATTTTGAAATGTTTACTTGTCATATTTTCATTTGGGCAGAGGAATTTCGCAGTAATAACGAGTTAGGAGATGCTTTTAGCAGAAACGAAAGGGTAAAGTGGGTATATTAATGGTGTATTACACTGTGCGACAAATGTTGGGTTTGTTGGCGACCTGAGTCCCCATGCTTAGAATTTTCAATATACCCCCAAAATCGTTTCTAAAAATTCGAAAACCACGATTTGGTGTGACCTTTCATAGGATTTCTTATTCGTAAAGATACAATGGCTATACCTGTAGACATACCTTGCCCTAAGATCATATTTAAGGTGGAAATATCGTAGGGAAGGCGTAACCATAATTAATTTTCAATTTTTTGAGTATTTTCTTAGGATTTCTTTCTAATTTGTACACATTTATATTGCTCTTCCAATATTTACCAATCAAGAACATATCTTATCGACTGCCTGCATTAATCCTCTGCTGAACCCCGTGCAGAACTATCTTCCTCCCCAGTCCATGCACCTGCGCCCCAGGAATATCCCCTCGACGGATCGGGCAACGCCTCCGAATTAATTGAAACCGCATTACAAGTGCCAAACCCAAAAAACCCATACCGTTTGGCTGTCAGATCTGCCACGACCAATCCCTCGAATGCAGAATAAAACCGACTCCCAAAAAATACAAAAAAAAACACCACAGATGCGACTACTATAAAAAAAAGGAAGTGCGAACAGGGGAGGGATGGAGGAGGGTTTAGGAGGTCGTCGATCCAGCAATCCCCCACAAATCCCAGACAAATGTGCAAGCGAAAGAAAATAAAAATTCGGCAATACTCCTCCCGCTCCCTGCTCCTTGTACTGGGTACATTTTCCCATGTAAATATGAATGGAAATGAATTACAAGCGAAATAAATGTACGAAAAAAATTGGATGAAACAAAGCCAAATCGTAAAAAAAGAAAGGAACAGCTAACAAATATGGCTTTTGAGGGTTCAGATTCGGATACAGGTTCGGGATTGCTATGGTATGGGGGTTTTGGGGGGGTAAACATTTTTTTTTCTCTGTGTGGTTTCCAGTCGCAATGTTGACATGTTCCAAATGCAATTTTAACAGGATTTGCAAGGACACATTTGCACAAAGTGACAGAAAAACGCAACAGCCAAAGTCAACTCCCCTCTGAACCCCAGTCTCATTCCCATTCCCATTCCCTGCTCCTGGCCCTGTCCATGTCCCTGTGTG